TAAGATGCGCGTTAAATATCGCATGTGATTTATCGTGCAGCCCTATCTCACATGCACACATTACACCATCGACTAAAAGCTTTTAGATAGATAGTTTGTTATATGCTAGGAGAATTTCATCTTTCTGGCGAATAATATGCTGGTGGTATGAAAGACACAATGTTCTGCTCTTTTGTAGCATAACATTTCTCTGATCTCCACATATAATGTTTTTTTTTTATAAATTACATAAAATGTAATTTAGACCATTTTTACTCTCTCTGGCCCTTAGAATTAAACAGCCTGTTTTACTACTGTACCTTTAAGACCATCTGCAAATGACCTATTTTATGATTGGCTTGCCTCTGCTGAGTAAATTACACTGATGTTGATCAAGGCATTCAGGTACAGAAAAATGACTTTTGCGGAGAAAACTGCAAATGTATTTTAAATAAATTTAATATTTATTTTATTTTACATATGTATTTTATTACAAAAAAATTGCTAACTGTTTTGCTACACTGAAGATCCATTGATTTTTTTCATTTATTAATTAATTTATTTGTACTTGTTTAAATTTACATTTTACTCTGCTTTGTTTGGTTTTGTTTTATCAGTTTAATTAAATATTTTGCTACACTACACTAAAGATTCACTGATTTTTTTAAACTGGTTTAATAATGTTTTTTTATTTTGTTTTGTTTGTTTTGTTTCAGTTTAAATCTAGCGTAGCGTTATTTCTGGCAGGTCACGTTAGTCAAGCTCGCATCAGCTGACTCTCAGCTGATCCCCAACAACCTATGGGAATACGACACCTATCTAAGCATTCATATATAAGGTCCCTTAGTATTATCAGCAGTTTTCGCATTGCTCAATAGCTAATTACCCTTCTCCATCCCCAACTCCTCCTCTGTCAGTCAGGATTCAGCCTTCTGATTCTCCTTTGAATCAGACTAATTCTAAAATGTGTATATAACATTATTGAACTTTAACGATATCTGCAATACATTTATGTTGGTTCTGTTCTGTTTACCCTGGGGGGTTATCGCTGCTCTCCCTGCTCTCATCCATGCTAGGCTGCATGGATGCGCAGGGAGTTCTTGCCCAGAACAGAACCATACCGCCAATCCAAACTGTATGCTAATTGTCAATCATCTTTGACGATAGTGGTCCTGACAGAACTAAATATTTTGCTACACTAAAGATTCACTAATCTTTTGAGCTGGGTTAATTGTGTTTTTTTTTGTTTGTTTGTTTGTTTGTTTGTTTGTTTGTTGTTTGTTGGCTTGTTTGATTAAATTTAACTGTATGTTTTGCTGCACTAACCATTCACTTGGAAGATGACTTTTTCCTTGAACTGTGCATTCAAACCAATCGAAAGAGCAGAAAGCATTGTATATCTCATGTCATGTTCATTTCCTCTTGTCTTCCTCTCTTTTTCAGTGTCACCCATGTGTTGAGGAAACTGCTACATATATATTTACTTGAATTATTTTATTTTTTTAATGTATTTTTTAAACTTCAGTTAATATTTTGCTACTGGAATGCACAATTTTTAACAGTTAATTTTATTTTATTAACGATTGAGTTTTTTTTTTTCGTTTTGTTTTAACTGATTTTTGAATCAGTGTCTCTACATGATCTGTCCTCATTTGAAAGTGCAAAAAAAAAAAAAAAAACTATATACATCCCATTTTGTGCTCATTTTCTCATCTCTTCCTCTCTCTCTCTCAGTGTCCAATCCATGTGCAAAGATGAATTGTGCTTTCCTTTGCCTCCTGAACCCCAGTGGGGCCAGATGTGTGTGTCCTGAGGGGAAAATTCTGCTGAACAGGACCTGCACGGCCACCAACATCTCAGGTACATCTGTCAAAACGTGCTCAGCAGGATGCTCTTACATCACTAACAGAGAGGCCCTGGCGTGTCAAACTGGAATGTTTCACTTGAGTGATTTTGACTGAAGTGTTTACTATTCTGGGCCCTTTGCCCACACATGCAATCCACCTGAAGCCCATGTGCTAGAAAAGACAGCGATCGTGTTTATAGCATTGATTCAGTCCGAGAGGACGGGAAACTTGTGTATCTTAGAACCAGCTTAGCAACCACCCAGAGCACCCTAGCAACGGAAATCAGATGTAGACTGTATATATTATTTTTCTTTCTTTCTTTCTAAAACGTATCAATATACAAAAAGCAAGGCAAAACAAAATATAAAACTTGCATGTTAGAAACAAGCAGAGCATATATAACAACACAAATATAAATGTTTGATACAATAAATAAATAAAACGAAATGTTATGACTGGTCAAAGAAATCTCAAATCAAACATGTAACATGCAGATACATATTTTCAATAATCAAACAATTGAAAAATGTAAATAAATATAAAAATACTAATAAAAAATTAAATAAATAAACAAACAAACATGAAAAAAAAAATAGATCATTCTAAAAAATTCCGGTAATCTCAATAACTTCTGCATTGTTATTTTTCATAAATCCTAATGAAATAATGGTTAATTTTGAAAAATTAATAAATACATTTTGAAAAGAGTTTAGGTCTTGATAAATTTGGCTTTATAAACAAAGAATTTAGCAAGAATTAATATATACTTTACAATATAATACACTATACAATATACACTATTTGTATTTGCCACAATACTTCACAATAATACAAATGCTTAAATTTAATAAACATCAATCTTTACTAAAAATCTATCAATATTAAAATTGATAATTGATATCAGTAAGTGTAATCTGGACTATACATTCCTCAAAGCCTTTTTTAATTTGTGTCATATTAAATATTATTTAAATCCAATAAATGTATTTTAAATAAAACTGGTTAATAAACACAAAACTAGTTTATTGTCATTTTTTTAGTCTCTATATACAGATTTTATAAGCAACTAAATACATGTAAAAATGTCCTTACTAATTATAATAAGCTTAAAGGCACAATATGTAAGATTTTTTTATTAAAATATCTCCATGAACGTGATTTCTGCCCGAGTCCTGTCGGATTGCATCGGCTGTGGGGATGAAGACCACAACTCCCATGATTCCCCACTCAGTCACGGCATCATCAAACTATGCCTTTGTCTCTTTGTTTATTTTGAATACGTGCCCTCCAGCGGAGAAAATTACATATTGTGCCTTTAAGTGAAGGATTTACGTTTTAGGAGATCTTTGTCGTCCGACCTGTGAGAACGGAGGTCGTTGTATCACCAATGAACGAGGGGAATCGCGCTGCTTCTGTTGGCCGAACTACTCTGGGGAGCGATGTGAAATCAGCCACTGTAAGGACTTCTGCCTCAACAGAGGCACTTGCACGGGATCTCCACTAGGTAGGCGCTGTTTCCCATCTGTAAACTGGACATTGTTTGTATCGTGCATATATTTCTGCCTCCTTTCTACTCATATTTCATCTCAAGTATGTTCATCATTTTGTGGTAAACAAGTACACTAGCTATTTGCAAAAAAAAAATCTTTGTTAGTGGCATTGTGTAATTGACACAACAATTGACAAGTACTAAAAAAAAAACATTAATTTGTATAAAAAATGTTAAAAAAAAAATACTGTTTCTGGGGTGGGGGGGTCTCTCTTTTTTTTTTTTTATATGTAATAATTCATATTTTATGATTAAAGTCTCGTATTGTGCAAAAATATTCCCAAAACAATCAGGAACAAACAGGGTTTTCTTGACGCCTGCTCTCGTCTGCTCTCAGAATTCAAAGTAGGCCACAGGCAGAATTATAACTAGTTATGATTAAGTATTCATATTTCCCCATGAGCTGATTCGCTACACAGACATCTGATTCAAGAGGGATTTCTCAGTCTTTTTTCTGTCTGTTCAGAGAAGAAATGCAACAGAAATATATAGCACCTGTGTTGCCTTGTGTTGTTTCAGGTCATCCTGAGTTCTCTGAATAGAGTGAAATGATAAACAAGCAGTGAGATTTATTATTACAAGCACCAAATTTACCAGGATTTGGTGAGGGCGGGCATCATTCTTATAGACATTAGACTCAGTAATAACTGTTTCTTGGGCAATAAACCACAAAAATGACAATTCTTTTATAATTTTCTCACCCTCATGTACAAAACCTTATGCGGAACACGAAAGCAACATTTTAGCTGATTATTCACGCTGCTCTTTTCCATACAATGAAAGTAAATGGTGACCCAGAGTTGCAGACTCCAAAAATTAAATAAACAAATAAATAAGTAAGTGCGTGGTTCTATACTATAGTGTATGAGTATTGTGAACCACTTTTATGTTTTTTTTTTTTTTTTTTTTTAGATTTGAGAAGCCCGCTTCCACCACTGAATAAAAATATTTAAAAAAAGGTTATTGCGAGCTTATATCTCACAATTATGACTTTTTAACTCGCAATTGTGAGTATATATCACGCAATTCTGAGAAAAAAAAAGTCAGAATTGTGAGATAAAAAGTCGCAATTACCTTTTTTTATTCAGTGGAAACGGGCTTCCATATTAAAGTGGTCATCATTTAAATTGTATATTTATTATTGGAATATTAAAAATTTTTTACAAAAATCTATATAATTTTTATATAATTTTTGAAGTATTATTTAAATATTAATTTAAATATTAAATTAAATTGAAATGAAATATTAATTTACATTATAAAATAAGTAAAAATTCTAGATAGATAGATAGATAGATAGATACACTATTTTTATTTATTTTACTACAAATAACTCCTGTGTTCTACTTAAAAAAGAAATGGGTCTTGAACATCGTGAGTGTGAGTAAGTGATAACAGGATTTCCAACTGACTGAAAGACTGCACGCACATGGAATCAGGGTTTTGGACAGTTAATTAGATAGTTGGTAATTGTTCCAGTAAACGAGCGGTATTGAAATTCCCCTGACGCATGAACGCCAACTGCCGACAGCCTGTTTCCCAAAAGTGCACCATCATGTTCACTCACTATCTGTTTGTTATTGGCTTTTCAAGCACATGAGAAGACACCAGACGTTCCTTTGCCTGTTTGTTATCGTAACCTCTATGAAAAATATATCACTGCGAAAGCTTCAGGAAGGTGTTGTGTGAATCCCCACTCCCTGTTTAGTCTTCTTATTCTGAAAGGATATTTTGGCAGGAGCCAAAGGCTGGATGGAAATCAGTTGGAGCGCATTAACGTCTGAGAAACAGTCAGGAATGGTTTCTGTTGGCATCTTTGCGTTAAAACTGTCATTCGCTCCAGCTGGCAGATGGACCACCAACAGAAGGACTGAAGATCCCCGGGCTTTGAGTGTGTTGAACGTGCAAAATCAATGCCCAACAGATGTACTGTCACGCAAATCCCCGCTAGAACGCCGTGACTCTGTCACAGTAACTCAAATAATCTAATTCTGTTGGCTAAGAAAGCAAAGCCTAGCATAGATCGCTGTGATTTATTACTTTATTTATTTTATTTTATTATTTATTTTTTTTCAGTTTTTACGTCAGTAAGTGCTTGTGTATTTTATTCCCTCACAGGCAATTATTTTAGTATTTATTTCTATTTATTCTAGGATTGATTAATGTTTTGAATTAGCTTTTATTTTTATGTTTTCAGTTTTCTTTTTAATTTTAGGTTAAGTTTTAGTAATTGTATTATGAGGTTTATTTTATTTTATTTTATTTTATTGGTGTTCATTATTTTTTTGTGAATATTTATGTTTAGCTTTACATATAATTTTCTTTCCTCTTTCTACTATTTTGTCTCAAGAATGTTTTGCACTAAAACTGAAAGTTTAAATTTGTCTAAAAAAATATATAAAAAAGTTTAGATTCAGTAAGATTTTTATTTTTATTTTAAATACATTTTTATTGTAATATTATGTATATACTATTATAGAATTTATTTTGAATTATGTTAATTTGTATATCAATTCAGTTTTATTTTAATTTTAGTTCAAGTTAGTAATTGTTTTGTTTTTTGTTTTTATAACTTTTTAAAACAATATTTCTATTTAGTTTTTTTATTTTAAGTTTAAATTTTATTTTTAGTTTAAGTTTTACTGATTTTGTTTTGTGCTTCTGTCATTTTTATTATTATTTGTTTTATTTTTTAGTAATTTTAGTACTTATTTTATTTATAATTTTTTTTACATTTTTTATATTAAGATTTTCACCTAATATTTATATTTTCTTTCAGTTTTATTTGAATGAACTAATATTAGTTTTGGTTAGTTTTAAAATAATTAGTTTTAAATATTTTACTTTAAAATAACACAACAGTCTTTCAATTTAATTTTAGTGCTCAGCAGTGTTGGGGGTAACACATTACAAGTAACGCGAGTTACGTAATCAGATTACTTTTTTCAAGTAACTAGTAAAGTAATGCATTACTTTTTACTTTACAAGAGAATATCTGAGTTACTTTTTCAAATAAGTAACGCAAGTTACTTTTTTTTCCAATTTATTGATTGACAGCTCTCCTGTCCCCATGTTGAGAGAAATCAGAAGATGTTACTGTAGTTCTAAAATAAATATGAATATGCATTAATTTATCTCACTCACAAAATAAAAAACAGATTCAGTATTCCTCAAAATGAATAAAAAAAATGCAACTCAGAATATAACGCAAACCTGCAATAATTAAATGTTAAACAACACAAATATCCTTTATGTATTTAATCCCATTCTATTAACCATTATGTCTTTGCTTCTGACCGTCGAAGACCCAGTTCAACCGTACTAATAAGCAAAAATTACTCTAGACAAACATTTGTGTGTCTTTTTTTTATTGCTGAAGTGTGTTGAAATTTCTTCTTCTGCATTCTACTGTACGGACGTAAATGTACTTTCCCTTCAGCCTGAGGCTTATTCATTTCACTTTTGGTGTGAAAAGGCTTTTATGTTTGCCAAAAATAGAACTTTCTTATTTTAAAAACAAACAAGCAAGCCCTGTCCAGATTTCAAAAGTAACGTAATGCATTACTTTCCATAAAAAGTAACTAAGTAACGTAATTAGTTACTTTTTTATGGAGTAACGCAATATTGTAATGCATTACTTTTACCTTCCACCTTCCCCAACACTGGTGCTCAGTTATGACCTGCTCGGTTTATCATGTACTCTGAGTCAAAAAAAAAAAAAAAAGAAAAAGTTTTTATATATATTTGTGTGTGTTTATGGAGTTATGCAAATTATGCAAATCAGGTAAAATAGTCCAGCCACACTTAAAGTCACTAAAATAATGTATTTCCTGCAGGTAAGCCCACGTGTCGCTGCGCTCTGGGTTTCACCGGTCCTCTGTGTGAGAAGCGTGTTTGTGACGGTTACTGTCTGAACGGAGGCACATGTGACGTGACCCTAGGGAACCAACCCGTGTGCCACTGTCTGGCAGAATACACTGGAGAACGCTGTCAACACCGTGAGTATCAGCCTGTTTCATGATTGTTTTTTGTGTTCATTAGCTTAGTTTTGATACCTAGTCTACTATTAGGCAACATTATCGGCATCGTAGGCCTGCTTAGTAGGCTGCTATCACACTGTTAGCTTAGCAGCATGCTAACGTCAGACTGTTGGAATCAATTGCGAGTAGCACTATTTCGACACTTAAAGCACTTGAAATTAGTCAGTTGATTTGAAGAGGAGGTAAGATATGAATATGGCATACATGGCTTCAGATCATTCATTATAATTGTCTCTCTTTCTATCTGATGACAGATATTTGTCACCATTATTGCGTGAACTCCAAAGGCTGCACACTGTCCGGCTCGGGACACGTGGAGTGTGTGTGTCCCACCCGCTACGAGGGGCCAAAATGCGAGACGGACCGATGTCTTCGCTGCCGAGGGGCCCCGTGTATCGTTGACGAAGAGACTGGAGACGTCACCTGCAAGTGTGTATAAAGTGACATTAGCACTAATTTATTAAGTAATATACAATATATCGAAAGTGTAAATATAAAATGGGTCCATAATCTGCCACTTATATCGACCTCTATATTTGTATGTTAGAGAGAGGCAGAGAAACCAATGAGAGACACCAGCGTAAAAGAGCACAGGATATAAACGCAAAAAGACAAAGAAAACAGTAAAACTGAAGAAACAAAAGTAGTTCTGCTGTCCTATTGATTCCTGCTGTTAAAGGGACAGTTCTAGAGAGAGAAAAAATGACTGTAAAAGTAAAGAAAATAAAAAGTGCTTCTGTTTTATAGTTGATACGGAAAAAGCCCTTAAAGGGACAGTGCGCCCAAAAATTTTAATTTTATTTCATTTAAATCTCATTCCAAACCTGTATAAGAATCTTCTTCAGAACACACACACAAAAATCTTTATAAGAAATTAAGTCACTGTTGTCCAGGAAATTACAATGAACAGGAAGTGAAGCTTTAAAGCTTCAATAAAGGATATAGATGTGCAATAAAAGTATTGTAAAAAATGGTTCATGAAACTTATTCAATATTTTCTAAGACATCTAAAGCCATACAGATTTGTGAATGAATCATTCAGATGGGTTTGCGAACTGAATCAGCTGATTCATTAACAAAATTTGACACTCTTATTGACAAGATCTAAAAGGATGATTTATTCATGAATCAGACTTTTTTTCACAAACACACCAAGACCGAGCTTATAAACAGTTAGCCAATCATAACGGAGCTCATTTACATAGACTGTTTTGCTACCGTACCTTTAAATGGCTGCAATATAACAAAGAGTGAAAAATTGAAGGGGGTCTGAATACTTTCCGTACCCACTGTATGTTTAATTTAAAAACTCAGAGAAAGGTTGGAAAATAGTCATGAACTAAATTACAATATTTTTGGTGCAAGAAACCTTGACATTATAAATGGAATGCTAAATATATTTCAAGTTTTCTAGAGAGAAAAATACTATATAGCTGAAGACAGTACACCCCAAAAATGTAATTTTCTTTCCATCCAAATCTCATTGCACACCTTTATGACTTCCTTTCTTCTGCAGAACACATAAAAAAAAGAATTTAACGAGAAATTAATTTACTATTCTCCAGGAAATTGCAGTGAACAGGAAGTGAAGCTTTGTAGCTTCAATTAAGAATGCAGACACATCATACAACTGTTGTAAAAATGTAATTTAAGTCATTAATCGCTGTGAGTCACTCAGATTTGTGAATGAATCATTCAGATGGGTTTGCGAACTGAATCAACTGATTCATTGACAAAATCGGACTCTCTGATTGACGAGATCTTAAAGAATGATGTATTCATGAATCAGACAGTGCTACTTTTCTCAAGAACACACCAAGGCGAGCTCATGAATGGCTAGCCAATCACAACAGAGCTCATTTAAATAGAGCCTTAAAGGTACAGTAGCAAAAAATCCCGTTTCATTTAAAAGTTTGGAGAAAGGTTGGAAAATGGTCACAAAGAACTAAAGTACAACGTTTTTGGTGCAAGAAACCTTGACACTGATTTTAATGTTAAGTACATAGTTTCTAGTATCACTGAATGGAATTGTGCATTTAATAATCGCTTTAAAGCAAGTGAGAGAAACCGACCACAATGAAATGGACGGAGAGTGAAACTGTTATTGCGCTAATAGCGGCAGCTCATTTGAATCCTTTTTACATAAAATGACTGATTTTTTTTGTCCTTTGAAAAAAAAAAATCCATAAGTGAAGAAAGAAATTGATAGATGGGCGGCAGAAAGCGACAAAGCTGTTAAGCCATTGTACAGCAACTGAATGCGGCAGTGGACGTACTCCGTCTTTCAGCTGAAATTATTTGAGATTTGTCTGGCTGCCGTGAATCCCTCAGTGATGGAGCTTTTACTTTCCTCTTCAACACATAATAAACCCTACCAGACTAATATTTTTTTTTATCTGCCTACATTTTTCTTGTTTGCCAAAGGCATTTTATCTGGAGGAACAGGATATGGTGCTCTTTCAAAAACATTTGGAGGAGAAAATAAGTGTAAATCACCATTTTTTTTCCTGAAGTAAATCAGCCTGAATGGATCAAACTAGTGAAAATGAATGGGATGGCAAACATCAGTCCTTCCAAGAAGAATAAGTATTCATAAAAGTATGAATCCCCCTCATAATGTCAGGCCAAGCAAAGTCAGAAGTCTCTCAAAGTCTCTTCCTTTACGTGTTCTTGAAGAAAATCTCACTAAAGATGGACACAAATCTTTTATTGGCTTTAACCAGGACACCTGGTCTTCGTTTCCACTTCTTTTTCCCATTTCTCGTCGCCATTGATGGTCTGATAAAGCCATTGTGCCCTTCAGTGGCGAATCAATTTGCATTCAAATGAATCAATCTTGTGTTTTTCTTTGGCTGCTGAAGGTGAAGGGTTGGTAATGATGGTGGCCAGACATTGCCTAGAAAAATGAGTGCGTCCTGCTTATATAGACCTGCTTGATTTCAAATCACCCCATCAAAGGCTCTTTTTTTGTCTTTTGTTTGTCCGTCTTCTATTTCATTATCTTTCTCGAGCAGTGTTTCATTAGAGCTTGCTTTAGTGGGTCTTAGTAGATGAAGGCGGCTGGAGATGCTGCTAGAGTTTTGTATTAAATTTGAATAAAGGACTTGTGTGTCCAGCTAGTTTATGGTTTGCATTAATCGAAAAGTAGCCTTTCATTTGGATCATATCATTCCTAGAAGACGTTCTTTAAAGGGGTCATATGATGCAATTTCAAATTTTCAATTTAGTACAAGTTACAAGCTGTTCGTGCATAGATAAGATCCCTAAAGTTGCAAAGATTAAAGTCTCAAATCCAAAGAGATATTCTTTATAAAAGTTA